TTCCCTTTTCAGTAAGCTTTTGCTATTACTGAATCTGTACTTGGAAATAAAACACAGGTACACCTCAGGATTCAAATCCATCTTATGCAAACTCAGGAACCAAATAGATTCTGCTAAATTCTGAGGATTCTATTGTTTGACAGAAACTATATACATCGTTATCTGAGCTCTCACTCTTGCTATCCAAAACTGAGGATGCGAACAAATGTAGATGACCCAGTATTCACTATCCAGACTCTTACTATCCAAACTCAGGTCATGACTGCAGTAGATACAGACTGCAAGGAATACCTGTGAATCTTATAAAATTTTAAATATAATTTGACATGATTTACAAAATTAGGATTTTTTTTAGCAACATGCAAGTAGCCTACTAAAATCACATAAACACTGGCTGCAAAACAAATCTGAGAAAACATCTTTTTATGCCATATTTCTTAGTAGTTTGCTGGAACAAATTATTAAGTTATTGCTCCTCAGCTCCACACCCCCATCCCTTCTTCCCAATCTGCTTTAATGATGTTGGAACTGGGACTCTGCACACCACATTTCTGCTTTGCCTGCTGGTTTCCCATAAGGCTCTGCCAAGAGGGGGCACTAAAGATAGACTGTAAGCCTGGAGAAGGAAAAAGATACCTCAGCCTTCTTGTCTATTCTTTGGGCTTCATAAGAGAGTTACCCCAGCAAAGGCTTCTTCATCCCTACAGCAGCAGATCCCCCCCATAGTAATAAGTGAATCCAGTTTGCAGTGCTTTCAGCACTTGTGGAACTAGCTTCATCATACCCAACTCAAAGACACCAGCACCAACCAGCACCCTTTCCTCAGAGGTCTGGGTCTCAAACCATGAGACTTCTCTTCTGAGCTCAGACACTAGCAACAGCTATGTAGTGCCTTCTCTTTAGAGGTCCAAGTTTTGGTTCTACAGGGCCGTTCCTCTAAGTCTCTAGGTTTTCCCTTTGGTCCCAGCCTGAGCCCTTACGGCTGGTAGCTGTTTCCAGAAGTGTCTATCTCCATGAAACCTTAGAATTTTATTTTATCCTTTCCGTTACCTACTCAACAACTTCATATCTAGTTAATGATCCTATTAAAGTATCTCTGTTCAAATAACTGATGTGGTTTCTGCTTCCTGACAGAACCCTGACTGATAAGAATAAAACAATCTCATTATATAGAATATGATGTTGTTATAGTGACTTTTGTTAAAATGCAATTCTACCCCTACTAGCAAGTAAAGAAGAACAAAGTGTCAGTTAAGACCAATTTGGTTAAAATTAAAGAGTATACTTAGCTATTGCTACAAAATCTTTTCCAATCATTCTTTTAAAGAAAATCTGGGGGGCCTTTTTCCAATTCACACATAGTATCTACTGGTGTAAAATTACATGATATGAATATATTAACAATAGTTATCTCTGTCTTTCCAAATTTTCTACATAGTAAGCGTAATTTTAAAAATAATCCTAAAACATTCAGATTAAATAAGGATCCAATACCATCTATAAAAAACAATACTTAACTTGTTTACCCTAACTATTTAAAGGAAGAGGAGAAAGAGTTTTAATCCATTTACTAACTACCCTCTCCTACCCAACAAACTTTTAAAATATGTCACATACTTTCATTCTACCCCTCTACCTTTACTTACACATAACTGTCCACTCCCGCTCTTATCTATGCCAACAAACTCCTACCTGCCTACCAACTTTCTCATTCCCAGCCACATGCCAGTTCTTCTCCACCAACTCATATGCTTCCTGTCTTGAGGCTAGCCATTTTCTAGATCTACAGGTAGTATATACAAGACATAATGGTAGTAATGTATATAACAAGAGAGGTATGGCAAACAAGCAGTGTCAGTGGGTATGAGTTGCTTTACGAGTTCTGGCTCTATTCCTACTTGGATAGCGCAGTTGGGGAGCCTGTTTCTGGTTTGGGGAAGACTCTACGGGAAAGCAGACTAAAATTTATTGTGGGTTTTTTTGGTTGGTTTTTTTTTTTTTTTTTTTTTTTGGTGAGGAAGACTGACCCTGAGCTAACATCTGTTGCCAATCCTCCTCTTTTTGCTTGAGGAAGATTGTCGCTGAGCTAACATCTGTGCCAGTCTTCTTCTACTTTATATATGGAACACCGCCATAGCATGGCTTGATGAGTGGTGCGTAGGTGCATGCCCGGGACCCAAACCTGCGAACCCCAGGCTACCAAAGCGAAGCGTTCCAACTCAACCACTACACCACCAGGCCGGCACCTATTGTGGTTTTAAGTAATCCAGTTTCTCTCTCTCTCACCAAAAAATAGTCGTTCTTTCCCTCTCCTCCTTATATCAACCCAATGCTGGCTTCCAATTAGAAAAATCAATGACAATGATCTTCTATCCATAAATCTGAGAATGAGAATTGTCTGCTTCACAGATGAACCATACAGAATATTACAGAAATGAAAGATACATATAAGGATACTAAATATCTCAACTCATGCCATAGAGTTTCTCAGTTTATTAATTAATGCTAAATTTATAGCTATATCCAAAAAAATTTTGATTCCAGAATACTGTGCACAGAATTATAACAGAGTGAGTAAATTATAAAATAACTCATGGTATCTCTTCTCTTTCATCATCCCTTCCAATTCTATAATTCTATCAGCAAAAAGTTAAGTATCTATTATTCCTAACCCAATGTCATATACAAGCTTAACCTAAACATAAATATTCAAATAAAGAGATTTAAAAGCTCAGTCAATGACTTTAAAATATGATTGTTTCAGCATATCCCACAACTAAAATACCTTTAAGGAAGTGGAATATCAAAGTATGCAAAATGTCCTAACATGACCATATCCAAAGTTTTAAATATTCAGAAAAGAGTAAAATGACTCCTCCCTCCCTTCATAGTAAGCAGAAATCACTGTTAAGTAAAATTAGTTCTATAACAGCTTTGGAGATTAAAGACGACAGTCTTTTTTAAAAAGTTCTTTTCAGGGCCGGCCCCGTGGCTTAGCGGTTAAGTGCGCGCGCTCCGCTGCTGGCGGCCCGGGTTCGGATCCCGGGCGCGCACCGACGCACTGCTTCTCTGGCCATGCTGAGGCTGCGTCCCACATACAGCAACTAGAAGGATGTGCAACTGTGACATACAACTATCTACTGGGGCTTTGGGGGAAAAATAAATAAATAAATAAAATTATATTTAAAAAAAAATGTTAAAAAGTCTCTTTTCAGAGCTATAGAGATGTCCCTTGTTTGGTGGGGCAAGGGGAGAAAGGACACATGGACTCCAGCAAAGTAGAAAAACACTCTCTCCATCTATATCCATCTCTTCCAGGTGCATTCTCAGGAAAAGAAATGCCATAATGGCACAGAGTAAAGCTTTTCTACTGAGGAAAAAGAACAGCCAGCCTCGGCCTGCTGAAAATTCAAGTATATAAAAACTAAAAACGCAACTTCATTTTTCTTTTGTGGCATTCTAAACAACCAGAATTTCTTGCAAGCCTAAGGATTCCTTAACTTCACATTCATGGCTCTCAACTATTTTGTATCCCTCCTTTCTCTCCTTCTGCCCTCCAAAGCTGGGCAATTCCAACTCTCTTCATCACTTACTCTGTTCCGGCCACACTGATCATGTCATTGTTGCTCCAACATACAAGGCAAGTCTCCTGTCTTGGCACTTCCTGGAGTCCCTCTACCTGGAATGCTCACCTTCCACATACCCAACATATAGCTCATTCCATCACTCTTTCAGGTCTTCACTCAAATGTCACCTTTTCAGTAAAGCTTTCCCTGGCTACTCTATCTAAAATAGCACACAGTCCTATATTTCCTATTCCCCTTCTCTATTTTATTTTTCACCGTAGCCCTTATCACTGTCACTGTCAGTATCTAACAGATACTTCTCACTTATCTTGTTTATTAATTGTTCCTTCACCAGAATGTAAGCTCCATGATTATAGGATTTTTATCTGTTATGTACAACACTGTAGCCCCAGCATTTAGAATAGTGTCTGACAACACATTAGGTGCTCAATATGCTGCATGAATAAATGATACAGCTAGCTGCAACACCACATGTAACTGAGCAGGCGCTACCATCAACACTTCATATTCTAGTCTGAAAGACTTCAATTAACAGATTAGATTTAGGTTATTTTTTTCAAACTGTGCTCTAGGAACTGCAGCAATCCCTTAGGGGCAACTGTGGAGTAGAACATAGAAGCCTAAGCAAGCAGAAAAGTCCCACATTTATGTGTTTTATTCATTGGCTTTCACATAAGATTTAATTTGTAGAAAAGATTTAGTAACATCAAAAAAATCTAAAATCACTGGGTTATATATAACAACTTAGTTCCTACGTTTTACATTTTACTTATTCACTGGAAATGAGGATAATCTAGGTATCATGTTTACATCATCCTTCAGAAAGAGGTTAAAATTAGCACCTAGTCTTATTTAATAATCTGCTACAGAGGCAATCAAAATTTACTATGTATTTTCTAATTAAAACAAGTAGAGAGCAAATTAGTTTGAAAAAAGGGAATGACAAAAAAGCGTACAATTATGTTATTTCATGTACAAGAATATATAAGTTCACTAAGTGGAGATTAAGAAAAGAGCCAAATCCCATTACCACAACATCTCTGTAAGCAAAACTATCTCCCAACCCCACCAAATAGCACTCTTTGACAAAACAAACTACAATACAGTCATGCGCTGCATAATGACATTCTGGTCAACGGATCGCATATACAATGGCAGTCCCAAAACACTAGTGCCATACAGCCTAGGTGTGTAGTAGGCTATACCATCTAGGTTTGTGTAAGTACACTCTACGATGTTCGTACAACAATGAAATCACCTAATGATGCATTTCTCAGGACGTAGCCCCATCATTAAGCAACACATGACTGTATTTCATTCTGAACCTCACCTTGAAATACATTCTAATATGACTTGACCAGCACAATTTTTAAAATGTTACATGTTCCAAAAAAGAAAAAGAATAGCACTCACCTTAATGAAGTTACAGATGGACAAGCCTGTCCATACAAACCCATCTGGCCACAAAGAGAATCTGAAAAGTAAAAAAAGTTAGTTATCAGATGCTTCAAAGTAAATCTAACTATGAATCACGCTACAATTCTAATTAAAACACTTTGAAAACAGAAATAAAAGGCTAAAAGAGTCATCATTATCTGAACACAGACCCACATGAATCAAAACACTACTGAGTAATAACAATAATTACAGAGGAAGGCAGACATACCAAGAAGTATAAGACAAACACGCAAACTATAACCGTAACATCCAAAGGAGCTGAAAACTCATAAAATTTAACAAATTGTTATGTTTATGTCATAGAGAGAGTGTGTCCAAATTGTTTAGTAGAATCCTAGGGATTCCAGGGAGGTGCCTAAAGGGTACCAAAAAGCTGAGCATGCAGGTTCCCATCCCCACATAATTGTCCCCCACCCCATCTACTCTTCAACCAAAGCAGTGCTATCTTCATTGGTTTTATACACTGGACTTCATTAAGACTTCATCTGAAGAACAGTTCCATTGCTTTAAAACAAAAAAAAAAAGCTAAGAATAGCACTAGAACAGAAGGAGCTTTCAATAAAACGTTCTAGGTTCAAATTATAGCTGTGACAATGAGACACTAAAGAATTTATATAACTTCACTGAACCTCAGTTTCTTCATCTGTAACTTGGGGATAATACCACCTATATAACTTTATTCATCACGGATACATCTGGAGGATTGCTGTTGGAATAAAATAGTCATGTGCCACATAATGGCATTTCAGTCAACAACGAACCGCATATACAACAGTGGTCCCATAAGATTAGAATCATGTAGCCCAGGTGTGTAGCATGCTATACCATCTAGGTTTGCATAAATACACTCTATGATGTTTGCACAATGATGAAATTGCCTAATGATGCATTTCTCAGAACTTATCCCCATTATTAAGCAATGCATGACTGTAAATCAATTTACGAATGTGAAATTGTCTATTAGCACTACCTGGCACGAGGATGATCCACAAATGTCTGTCATACAGGCAACACGAATGAGAGAAGTTGGAATGGGCATAAGTGTATACATATGCATACATTGTAGGAGTGGTGGAGATGGTGAGCAACTAAAGAAAACATGTTCACTTGGAAGGGATCAGCTGCTATTCTCAGTTCTAGCCAATTGCTGCTAAGCAAGAGTGCAAGCCCAGTATTGTAAGAACTTCTAATTTTTCAAGAGAAGATATCCAAAATTTTATTTGAAATCTCCTGATTCTTATTTTCTAAATACTACATGGGCCAAACAAAACATTGGATTTTGTCCCAAATTTATAACCTTTGATTTAGAGGATGACTGAATTCTCTGCATCTAATTGTCCCTGCATGCACTGAAGAGAGACAGACACTTCTATTTCTGCCAGAATGACAGAACAGATAGCTTGATCAACATGGCTACTGAAAATAACAAACAGGAAAAAATATTTTTAAATCTTCATAAATTAATCAATAACCCTAAAGAAAATAAGGTATGATCGAGACCAACAACAGTGAAAGAGGAAAACTAGAGAAGTATGCAGAGTACTGAAACCAGCGTTCATTCACTGTCAGGGCATTTTGCCAAACCCTATGAATTTCAGCTTGCAATTTCAAGGCCTATTGCAGCCCAAGGTACAAGAGGCAAAGTCCAGGTGTTACCCAAGAGAAGTGCAAAGAAAACCGCTCTTAACCTTGGCATTGAACACTGGTGAGGAGATGAGAGGCTATGATAGCAGTGCAATAGTACCTCCCCTGATATTCACAACCATAAGCTGACCTTCACCTAGATTACAGCTTAAAAAGCTTCATACCTAGAATTTTATTTAGGGTAGTCCTAGAATTACCATTCTAGGTGTCCTACACCCAACCTTTACAGAAGCAAATGCAAATCCTCTGAATCTATCTTTGATCTAGGCATGGAAGAATTCCCACAGATAAGGTTCCAAAATAAATAAATTCACAATCAAAAATCACAAAATTCAGAAGGAAACAAGCCACTCGGAATTAAGATAACAGCTGAAATATCAGTTGGCAGAATCAAAACCTCAAAGACTTCAGATATGGGAATTACTAGACACTTTACTATTTTACTTCATGGGTGATTTACCTACTCCTATATTTCAACTGTTCGTATGCAGATGAATCTCAAATCTACATCTCTAGCAGGGATCAATCTCCTGATCTCCAAACATAAATATCTAACGTTCCCTCCTAGAAATCCCAAATTTATTGTGTCCAAAACTGAATTCAGGGGCCAGCCTGGTGGCGCAAGCGGTTAAGTGCATGCGCTCCGCTGCAGCGGCCCAGGGTTCGCCGGTTCAGATCCTGGGCGCGCACCGACGCACTGCTTGTCAAGCCACGCTGTGACAGCGTCCCATATAAAGTGGAGAAAGATGGGCATGGATGTTAGCCCAGGGCCAGTCTTCCTCAGCAAAAAAAAAAAAAAAACAAGAGGAAGATTGGCGGATGTTAGCTCAGGGCAGATCTTGCTCACAAACAAAACTGAATTCATCATCTTTCTTTAATGTATTTCCTATCTTGATAAAAATGGCACAGTCCTTTTATCTAAGAATGGCTTTCAGGCTTCCAGTCTAACTCCTTTCTTTTCCTTTGTTAGAGCAAAACACTTCTTTCCAACTCTTTATTTCTATGAGGAATGACTTCTCTAAACACTCCTGGGCTCTTAGCCCACTCTTCATCAAAGAGGTAAGTAATCTGGTTAGTGGGCAGAGCTAACTCCAGGACTCTACAAGGCAGTGATATGGGTGTGCCTGCTCTGTTGACCCTAACAATCTAGACATGAGGTGGGCTGTCCCCTGGTCTAGACTGGGTTCTGTTGGGTGGGGACAAGAGAATGTGGAGAGAGAGCCAGCCCATTGGGCTCTTAAACCTAAGGCACATTCTACAATATTCTACAATCAGCAGTTTTATCAAAAACAAAGGTAATTCCTCCAAAAGTTACCAGCATTTTACTCCTAGGCATGTGTGTACCAACGCACTGCTTGGCAAGCCGTGCTGGGGTGGCGTCCACATAAGGTGGAGGAAGATGGGCATGGATCTTAGGCCAGCCTTCCTCAGCAAAAAGAGGAGGATTGGCAAATGTTAGCTCAGGGCAGATCTTCCTCACAAAAAAAAAAAGAAAAAAAGACTAGTTTTAAAAACATAATATTGCATTTTTTGATCTGCTGACTCTTGTTTTGTTACTTCAGAATTCAAGAAAGGGAAAAGGCTCTTATATTTTGAATCCCCCAAACATCAACACCCTTAGGACCCCCAATTACTTACCTTTCACTACCAACTCTAGCTCCTAGACATCTTTCTAATCTGCTTTAGCCTCAATGCCTTAGTTTCAGTTTTCTCCATTTTAATCTAGATTATTGCTCCTAAATGGTGTCCTGAACCCCAGGCTGGTCAAGTGAAAGAACAAACATATACCAATCTTTTTCTCCCTATCCAGGCAAATGACCAGCAACATGGAAATCTCACAAAAGAATGCTAAGGTTCACAGCAAGTCAGGAAAATCTCAGTGTCTTCTAAATTACAAACTCACACCCCTGGAGCAAACTAAAGTTGAACAATTATATTAACTCATTCAATTACATCCATAATTTATACAGTTAAGTTGGTGCCAACAGCACCTAGCAGCACATTCTCCAAATCCTTTGAAAACCAATATGCAAGAAAGTTTGCATAGAATGCCACAACCAGAATATGGGTAGTAAAAACCTGTAATTCACTGATGGGTACTCCAATAGAAGCTAGAGTATTATAACCCATCATCAACAGAAGAACATGGAATTCCTTTTAATATAAGCAGTCTTCAAGTTTATATTAAACTGAGTTATAAACTATTCAAATTTAGGAAGCAGATGTTTAACAAACAGTTGTATAATAACGCTTTATCTGGGAGCAGGAGGTGAAATGGGACTAAGTATTTTGAAAAAGCTCCCAAATAATTCTTAGGAGCCCTTCACTCCTCTCTCCCACCCACACAGAGATATAATGCTTTATAGTTTACAAAGAACTTAGAACATTCAAGACTGAGTCAAGACCTAGACTGGAGGGCCGGCCCCGTGGCTTAGCGGTTAAGTGCGCACGCTCCGCTACTGGCGGCTCGGGTTCAGACCCTGGGCGCGCACCAACACACCGCTTCTCCGGCCATGCTGAGGCTGCGTCCCACGTACAGCAACTAGAAGGATGTACAACTATGACGTACAACTATCTACTGGGGCTTTGGGGAAAAAAAAGAAGGAGGACTGGCAATAGATGTTAGCTCAGAGCTGGTCTTCCTCAGCAAAAAGAGGAGGATTAGCACGGATGTTAGCTCAGGGCCGATCTTCCTCACACACACACAAAAAAAGACCTAGACTGGAATCCCAATTATGACCTTGGGTATATTGTTAACTTCTCTAAGGCTTAATTTCCTCCTCTACACAAGTGAAAATTCATGCCTCAGTTATTGTGACAGTAGCTCAAATGAAAGCACCAGCATAATACCAGACAAAAACAAGAATTAAAAGTTTGTTGAAAATAAATGCTACAGCACTGGAGGTCCAGAGATTATCCCTTCTTTTTTATCTCCTAACTCAGCCCTATCTTCCAAAAGACTTGAAAGTATAAGATTCACTAGCACCCAGGAAGGCATAAACTCTTTGATTCAGGTTGACTAAGCACTGCGAATTGTTATACCATTATTCACAGGTAACCATTAAAGCAGTCATGGAAATAACCTCTGTCATAATCAGCCTAAACAGGAGAAATCTGCCAGAGGAAGGCGTAAAGGGAAAAGAATCCTGCTGAGTGAGTAGCAATCAGCTGTTCATCTCAGCTCCACCGACTAAACCTGAAGGCAGTGGTGCAGCTTGAGCTACGAACTGAGATCTTGGAGTCATGTGCTCTCAGAAAGCAACTAAAATTAAATGAGAGGAGCCAGCCCGGTGGCGTGGTCATTAAGTTTGTGTGCTCTGCTTCAGCAGCCCAGGGTTCGCAGGTTCAGTGCCCAGGTGCAGACCTACACAC